TGTAGATTATTTAATTAGTAATACTCTCAATATCTGATGAAAGAACATATCATGACTAGTTGTTAGAACTGGACATGAATTTTCTGATATATCATTCCCCCGATGGAAAACGCTTTTCTAGAATAAAGAATGTGCTCATAGGTACATGCTGATTTGTTTTAAAATGAAAAGCATTTAAGTTAAGGTAAAAACGTTCTGACCAAAGGTTTGTAGACTAAATATTCTTTTTAATAATAACTAATCTAAAACTTATTTTAGTATCTATAAAATTTAATCTATTTTTTTAAAAAGTATATTCCCCCTCTTTTAAACTCTGCATTGTGATAAGGAGACAATATTGTTATTCCATTAAAGGAATTTCCAAACGCTCTTTTATATATCTGAGAAATTCTCAGTTTTAGATGAAATGTTGTTGACTTTGGTGCAATTTTAAGGTACAATGCTAAAGAAATATTGATTTATTAGGGTTTTTTTTTTTTTTTTTTCCAGTATCATGCAACAGTCAAATAAATTCATAGAAAATCTAGAAACATTATTGGAAGGTGAAGGTTTTTTAGCAGAAGACTAATGTTAATTATAATAAAATTAGGCAGTCATGATATTGCTACTATTTCAAAGCAAAAAGAAAGTAAAAGTATCAGTATATCTGTTAATGCTTTGGGAAACAACATTTAATGTATTTATCAAAAGTCCAAGTCTATATATACATATGTCTGAATTTAAAGATTTATATACCTGCACTTCAGAAATATATTATCATATGTGCAATAGAAAATACTAATGAGGGTAAATTTTCACATTTCAAGAATGTTTTGGTCATTCAAAATGTCTCGCTCAAACTTCAAAAAACACAGTAATCGTTTTTACAGTTCCTTTAATTGAAAGTACAATAATCACATTAGCAGCAGAAAATAAGAGCAAGCAAGGCTTGTTTTGAGGTTAAGAAAACAAGGCACAACATAATCATTCTGAACGTGATCCAACACTCATTATGAATTGTTATGTCAAGAATTCTTATCTGTGTGTTTAATACAGCACATATCAGCGCTGAGCCAAATGGCAATATGATAGTTTGGGGACTGTACTGTCTCTGTAGAACATGAGGTAATGAGATGCTATGAGAGTAGTTACAAATATCACAGTGATAAAATGTGACTATAAGGTATACCTTCACTATAATACACGTAAATTTCCCCACATTTAGTAGCATACATGTTAGTAAAACAAAAGTCACACCTTGTATTTAGCTGTGACACTTGTTACATTCATGTGTCACAGTCTTATCACTTGGCAGCCCCTTCTCCTGTGAGAAGACAGAATCTAGAAGGTCTGCAAATCAGTCACTCTAGCCAAATTACATGACGTGTGTGTTCCTGCAAGAACCAGGCACGCAGACTCTTCAGCTTTGCATCCTGATCAGTCCTGACCATTAATAGATGGTTTGTATCACTCAGTACACCACAAGATTAGCCCCACAAAATTTCTTCCTCTGTCTGGATCTGTGCTGAAGCCACTAGTTTCTTATGCAGATTCTCCCATATCAGGACCATTCTTTATGGTTTGGTATTTGCCTTCATGATAATGACAAGTGTCCCTAGTTTTCTCACCACATTTCTCACCTAGTTTCTAGCCAGTTTATCTCTTGATAAGAGATTTGTTTAATCTCCTTTACAGATTTGACAGTGCCATCTAGCCTCCAGAAAAGAAGGACCTCTTACTTGAATAAAGATGTCACAGTCTATCCCCTTTCTGTCAAGCCATTCAAACCTTTTTTTCTTGGCAAAAAGTTTTTCCTTCCTCTTGTTCTCACTGATTGGCTTTTACTTAGCATTAGAAAAAAAAAAAATCTACAAGTCACCACAAAAAGGACATTTTATTGGATCTTTTCATAGATTTCAGGATGAGATTCTCACTGGTCTTTCCATTTATTACTGCATCATTCTCTTCTGCATAAGATGTAACAGCTCATACCTGTCCATTGTAAAATGTGATAATGAAGATGCTTGATAATCCTAACCTCCAAACCATATTGCTAGCTGTGTACCTCTAACTTTTTTGTGTTGACATGTACATCTGCATTTCTCCTTAAGTAGCTTGAACAATGAATTAACTTTCCATTTTCAGAGTCAATCAAAGCATCTAACAGCCCTTCTCCTAAACTAAAAGATACAATTTATGTTGAGTTGCTTGAGGTTTTGTTTTTACCTTAGCTATGAATATGTGTGACATTACCATATATATTCAGAGCCTATATAGGAAACATGCCCTTCTAGTTTTTGTACTTCATAACACTTGGAACAAAGTATTCTAATTTTTTTAAACTATCAAGACAGGCAGTTCTCATTCAGTATAATACCTCACTAGAATTTCTAGAAACCCTAGATTAGAACCTCTTGAACCACTTCCTTTACTCCAGAAGCTAGGGCATTGCTTTTTTAATATTTTCTCCCAAAGGGGAGTTAATTCTGTGAGGACTACTTTTTCAGCCACTCATCTCTTACCTTAAAGATATGCTTAGTCTATTCCTATTGAATTATATATCAGTTAGGGATTGAACCCAGTTTCAGACTCAGAGAAGCAGACTGTGAAAACTGGTCTCACGTGTATGCTCCATTACTACTTCAGTAAACCATCTTTCATCTCCAGATCCTGAGTGACAAAGCCTTATAATCATTATACCACTTTACCTGAAGTCAGGACATTCACAGACATTGTTCAATTCAAAAATCAGAATTGAAATGCTTTTTCATTCAACTCAGATTAAAGGAGAAAATTAATCTTTACCATCCAATACCAAAGCAAGGTTGACAATTTGACTTTTTAATGTCAAGAAAAACTTCCGAAAGCTGTCCAAGTGGCCTTTTCTAGAGAGCCACACTGGTCATCCTAAAAGCTATGGTGCAACTTCCATAAATCACAGATAGCTTCCTTGAAGAGCCTGCCTGTAAATCCGAGTTCCAGTGCCCTCAAAAACTTTCTCCACTCACTGGTACTAGGCCTTCTGCTCATTTCTGATGGGTAACAAACTGAACACCCTGCTGAAATTTTTCGATTGTCCATAAGGTACTGAAGGAATATTTGGCTTTGCTGGTGTTACTACCACCAGTTTAGTCTTTCCTGACTAGTCAGAAAGAAAGAGTAAATGAACTTGATGTGAGCAAGCAGAGAAAGAGAGACCTTTCTGATGTAATATAAACATTTAGAACATGTTATATTTTTCATTTCTTAATTTTTTAAAAAAAAAAAATCAGCATCAGTGGGGTTTGGGACTTAATAAATGCTTTTTTTCCCTGTATTTTCCAGTAAAACAATGACATAAAAATGACTAGGCAATAACAAAGTTAATATTCAAAGGGTGACAGTGTATACCTTCATTTCAGCTGTAGACCTAGATGGAGGAGAGTTGTCATCACAGAGACCAGCAGTGTGTTCCAGTAAAAACTAAAACAGGCTCTCAAGCATGCAGCATATTTCTACTTACATTTAACCACCAAAAGCTTGGCATAATCTCATAACTCAAACATTAATTTAATAATGAAATACTGTTAAGAACTCTGTACTTCAGGGAATACCCATAACTCAATGTGTAAAGGAGATGAGAGAAGAAATGAGACAGGATGAAACAGGACACATTAGGAAAACAAATCTTGCTGTCCTAGAGGAGATAAAAAAGGTACCTCACCAAATTAACCTTACAGTTATTTTTGAAGTTAAGGTGATGACAAGCAAGTCAATGTAGTTGACAGCAAGTATTTCTGACCTCAGAATTAATTTAACACAAGGAAACAAGGTATTTTGAAAGGGCTAGTACCTTGTAAAAAGTAATAAAGTAGCAATCTCTGTTTTTTTAAAACACATGTTCTAATTGTTGCTATTTCCCTTTCTTTCATACCCTGATCAGTACAGATTTTGTGAAAACAAAAACATGAACACTTTTGAAATAGGAAGGAAAAGTGAACACTAAAGAGAATACTAAAGTAATTGAGTAGCTGACTTTGTCTAAAGTAATCTAAACTATTCTAAACTGAGAAAAGTATATGATGGGCATAAAAGTAAAGAACACAAGATCAAAAGTAAGTATTTTAACTATTTTTAATACAGCTACAATTGTAAATATCTTAATCTGGGAATGTGTCCCCAAAGGAGAAACTTTTTAATATTATCATTTTCATGTAAATACACAGAAAAATATGCACAAGGAATTAGGCAATTATCCCCTTTCTTAGGAAAAAAAGTTTAAATATGGAAATAATATAGAAAAGAACTTAGAGAATTGTACTCACATCTGATTTCTCTGAAGATTTTGTGGTTTTTTACTACTGTGTATTTTATATTTCTATCGCAGATAGCTCTGATACCTCAGTTGCATCTACACAGACTCTAGCTCCCATCTACCTGGTATCAACCATAGCATCTAAGATCCAGATGATGGTCATGTTAAGGAGTATCTCCTAATAGTTCAGAAACAGCTTTATCCAAAAGACTGAAGTTTGACTGCTGCGCTATCAAGAAGATTGCATGCACTGAGCACTATCCTTGTACTTCAGAGATTAAAAAGGAATGGAAATTTATTGATGCTGATCTTAGTCAAAATTATCTGAGATGTATTTGTTTCTGAGCACCTGGTGAAAAGGAGAAAAAGATTTTTCAAGGTAGCAGAAGTGATGCCTTGTCTTTTCTTTTTCAGAGGCACGCACAACTCAAAACAAGAGAAAACAGGGAAAACTATACAACAGCCCTAAGCATTAATGAAGAATTAAAAGTGCCAAAGCAAATGAACAATTTTATAATTTTCCTGGAATTACTTCTTTATTCACAGAATTACAGAAGTCTACTATAGAAAAATAGCAATTTATTTAACTGGAAATACTTGCATATGGACAAGAAGATACTACTTATTTCAAACTTTTGATAAAACTGTATCCTTTTTAGACCTAAAAGGATCCAGAACTAATCAAATATTTTTTTGCTTCTCACATAAAGACCAGCTCTGATAATACTCAATTCTGAATCTTTCAGTATTTTCTTTCTAATCTGTAGTAATTCTCCATATGTTTATTCTTCCTGTTTCAACCTTTTCCTCATATTCTGCTAGCTCAACTTGGAGATGACTAAATACCATCTGAATACTTTGCTGCTTAAACATCACATCACTTAAATTTTTCTTTTGAAATAAAAAAAATAATACAGTGAAGCAATCAAGTTATTCTGCTATACTGTTTTTAGCCTTTATTTAAATGTTTAATGTTCAATTTTATAATAGATAAAATAGTGTCTTCTTGCAAATAACGATACCCTTTAAAAAACCAAAGAGCTATATGATGGAGCTTAGTATGAATGTTTAGACCACTTAAAGACACTCTGCCTATCAGTCCATATCCAACGAGTCTATTGAGATACATAACTTTCACAATTTTAAAAAACAGCTTGCAATTTTAAAACAACTTTCTAAAGAATGGACTGGCTCACTCCCACATGTAAAGTATCTGCTCAAGAAGTTATATTCTGATACACAGAATGAGCCCATGACCAGTGGCATATTGGGTAACATTATTTATTGAGACTGGAAGTGGGTGCTTTACACTATTTGTGTAATATTTTGTTTCTGTCTCTGTCCATACGATATATGTAAAGTTAAGCAATTTTCAGAGGTTTGCACTTGTAATAACATTCTGTCCTCTCAGGGTCTGTATTTCTGTTACTTTTAGACAGAAGCATATTTTTAAAAAAAGAAAAAAAAAAAAAAAAAAGGTATTTATAACTAAAGGTATTTATAACTGATTTTCTACAGATTACCTACAGTGCTCTAGTTTAGGTTATGAAACAGTTGGCTGCATCATAAAGGCTGTATCACAAAAAAGGAAACTGAAGATATAAGTTTAAGTCTATTTTTTCTAAATTTAAGGTTTTCTTGTGTAAACTTAATGTTATTTTAACAATAAAATAAAATAATTTGAAATTTTAAAACAAATTAAACAGTTTAATAAAGGGAAAAATCTCTCATGTAAAGATGATGCTGACCGCTCGGGAGCCATTTATGCTATCATGCTAGGAACAGCTGGGACCAATAATAAGCTTTTATCCTTATTAATTAGTTGATACATGGCAGAACAGATGTATTTAGGAGTTTTTGAATTTAGTTCTAAATTCTGGGGTCACAAGATTCTCCTCACAGTCTCTTCTGAGACTCTGCAGAACAAGCCCTTTACAGAAAATAAAGCATTTAAGGCCTCCTCTGAATCAATGTCTACAAAAACCTCTCTAAAGAGGCTAAGGGATCCATCAGAAATTACCTAGAGTTCCTTTGCACTAAAACACCCTTCCAGCCTACCTAATCTCCAGTACACCCCCTTAATGTCCTTCCTGCCCTTATTTCCTTCTTGCTGGTGGGTAGTTCACCATATGTGAACTGATGCATATAAATTGTGTGGGCTCAAATCCAAGCAAGGATGCTGCTCACACCAACCTTAATTTCCCAGTATTTGTTAATCATTCTTCTAATTTAATTAGCACCAAACTCCAGTGAGATAAAAAAATTTGAGTGAATATATTTCATGTTCATCCTTAACTTCAGGTTTTTGTCTTCCAAGAGTGTGAAAACAATCTTCAAAAGCCATTGGCATAAGACTGTTTCTAGATGGGATACCTGCAGCTTATAATTTTACCTTGGTCAACAAGTTCAGCTAAGTTTTGCAGTAGACTTCAGTTTTGTAGTCAGTTTTATTGTGGAAAAAGTATTTATTTCAAATTACTTTTATTTTGTTAACACCATGTCAATGTTTCTATTTCACTCTAGTAGCTATTATTTAGGGGTTTTTATTGCATTAATGGCAAGCAATAATAAGTCAATGAGATGCTATTCAGAGAAAAATGCTAGGAAGTACCTGTAAAAGGATAACAGTGAAGACTGAAAGCAGAAGTAGGGACTCTAGAATTAGACCAATGACATGCCAAAAAAAAAAAAAAAAAAAAAAAAAAAAAGGAAATAATAGCCAAAAGTAAAATCAGTTAATCCTTTATTCTCATCTTCCCTATCAAGTCAGGCAGGTATGAGCACTCTTAGAAAAAGAAGGAAAACCCATTCAAATAGACAACTATATTTGGTAGTGAACTATACGCATAACAAAATATAACAGGAAATGGCTAGAGCAGACTTTCTTAAAATAGACTGATGAAATGCCACGTGATATGTCAGATTATTGGAAATATTAACAGAAGAAAGTAGATTAGCCTGAAAGAAACTTTTTTCCTGAATATTGTCACCATTAATCTTCATTAACGAGAAGCAGCAAGCAATGAAAAAACACCAACAACCCAACTCTTCTCCTCTGAACCTCAAGCACAGAGAAGCTGAATGCTCTTGACAACCAGAAGGCATAAGCATGCTGCCTGTTTTCAGCAAGTCACATGATAAAGAAATTCCCGGGTGCTGTACCTTCTGGGTTCAGAGAATGACAAAAAGAAATACTAGCCGTTGGGAGGCATGGTTTGGAAGTTGAGGGTGGGGGTGTGTGTTTCTTTTGACTTTACAGTTCTTTCTATTAGATGGGATTGCTAAAAGCATGTTCAAGAAAAAATGCAAAGATTTCATCACTATCTATTTGAGATCTAGAATTTGGACAATATGCAAGAAAGTTCCTCTGAAACAGATGGACTTCTTAGCTATGTAGAAACAATTAATTGCTGGAATGAACTTTCAGTGCCACTTATTGTTGATATTATCCCTTTCTTCTCCAAGTCTGAATACAATATGTCACTGATATGAAACTACTGACTACTGGCTAAAGAGCTGTGGAAAACGAGAACAGATTTTCAGTCATGGAAAGATGCCTTCTGTTCTTGAAGTTCAGTAAGTTCCACTGCACACTGGGTCCCTCTGAATCATTCTGTTTGAATCAAGATTTGGAAAAAAACCCAACTTATCCAGTCCTACATATTCAGCTAAAACTTTTACATTGGAAAAAACCAAATTTTTTTCCTCAGTCTCGAATTTTATGGAATAATCTCTCAGAGATCTCTCAACACTGACAGTATATAAGTGAATGAGATCACAGAAATGATGCAGGGATCACTTTTTCACTATTTAGACATCCTGTACAATTCAACAATCCAAGCTGTTTTCTCTTTGACATTGCACAGCAGGTTCACCTTTATCCTTGAAGAGTAAGCCTGCTGTGCAATCAGCATATACAGCCCTCCAAGGCTTGTGTGGCCTAGAAGGCAGCCTGCATTATCAGTTGGATAGAGCCCTTTGAGACTATTTTCAGGACTCATCAGTCACAGTAAGTGTAGGTCCACACTTAAACTAGAGAAAACACAGAGTGCGTGGAAACCTCCATTAATTAAGGATGCAACTGACCATGAATATTACCAGATTTCCAAAAGTAATTCTGATGCCTGAAATTCAATTTGTTAGGTAGACAATTTATCATTAATAACTCCTACAGATGCTTTAAAACTACAAGCAGTGATCAGACAAAAATACTCTCAAATTATTGATAAAGAGTGCATTATATTTCCTAGAAATAATACCGTAAAATAAAGCTACCTTTAGTAATAGCAATAAAGTTACTAAATTACTTTAGTAAAAGTAATAAACTCTGTTTTAAAATTCATCTAATAGTTAGGTCTTACTGCAAATCAGTGATTTTTCTGTATTTTCCATCTGAATTTGCTTTGTGTTCCATAATTCATTTAATTCTTTAAGTTCATTTTTAAAATTTTTCATAGTGTGAGAGTTTTCAGCAATTTGACTGGAAACAAATGAAATATTTAAAACAAATACATAGCATGTAAATTAGGTAGGGCTAGATTTCCAAATACTGTATTTTAAGCACATGATTATGGGTAACAATTCATGAAATTGTACACCCAAAGAAAAAGAACTTCTTTCAGAAGTGGAAGTTGAAGCACTTAGTGCAAATGGAAGAACAGCAGTTATGTAAGAGCATGACTTTGCACATCCAGTTACAGTTCTCCAACTTGTTGCACAATTCTTCTACTATATATCCACAAATTTTATTATGGCACTTGTATATTTGCAGTTGCCTATTTTGTATACAGATGTATGCATGTTTGTAGGCCACAGTCTTCATACAGTATGTATCTTCTTATTTTTGCGCTCATACATAGAAGTTTCGCAAATAAGCACTGGCTTGCATAGCAAAAGCTTTATTAATGATAGTGAAAAGTAACAATTTTCACATATGATCTAAGTCTGGGCCTATTTATTTCAGTGTATGCAGAGTCAGCATCTTAACTGGCAGCTTTTATTGCTAGATCATCAAAATATTTACAAAATATAATACTGTTCTAGACAGATACCTAAAAAACTTGACTTTTAGGTTAGTATTTTTAGTTGGCATTTTTCCAGGGGTATACGGCTTACTCATTATCTCTAAGAACTGGCATTTTTAATTTGGTTGCCTAAATTGGGAGCTGTCCTTTTTTAGATGTCAAGTTTTTCATAACAGTCATCCTGTACTCCAGACAGTGAAGGATTAAAGCACAGAGGATGATTCCTGAACTCCTGCCTACTTTCTTCAGCTACAAGTAGACTACTCAAAGAGATGTTGATGTTAAGCTGCGAAAAACCTTTAAATTAAAAGATGTTTTCACTAAACTTTCTGTTCTACAGAAGAAAGATTAAATTGCAGTGTCTTTGTCATACCAAAAGTGACTGACAGTCACAGGACCCAAAAAATGTAAAGATTCATGACAAGGAAACTCCACTTTCAAAACCAAACAGTATCTGGTGAACAAAGATGCAGCTTCCCCACAATGAACAAGGTAAATATCTGTAGCAGTTCAATAATAATAAACAGGTGGGAGTCTTCTATTTGGATGATACTTCTAAAGTGGTCTTGCTGCATTAGATTTTGTAACCTGTACTAATGGGCTGTAAGCAGCTATGTAAATGGGTTAAATTAAGAGGAAGGAAAATACCTTTTGATTATCCTTATATATGCATATACACATATGATTTAAGTGCACACAGGTATAAATAACAAATTTCAAGACCTCACAGTTCAGTAGGCAAAGAATGAATCATGGTATTCAAATAAAGATTGGTATTTTAAAAATTTCTTCTTTAGATACCGCCCCATTTTTCTGAAGCAGTAGCCTGGTGCATAGTCTAATGATCTTTTTCCTTATGAAAGTGCTTCTTAGAGGTGTACCTAAAAGGTAGCTGTGAAAAAAAAAGAGGAATCAAATCTTTTGTAACAGATGTTAGCACAGATATGAAGGGCACAGATATCTTGTGCAAGGTACCATAAGAACATGACATTTTTAAGGCCTCTGAAATTTGTAAAAGTATTTTTTATATATATATATACACACACACACACATATATATATATACATACATACATACACACACACCTCCATATAGTATTAGATGGAAATTTCAGGTTTCTTACAGGAACACGGAATCATTAGAAAGAAAATGAAGATAGCGTAATTAATGCAAATCCCTTTGCAACTGAACTGCCCATAGAGAGTCTCAAATTATTAGTTTTAGGCTCAATACCAGGAAAACTTGGAGAAATAGCCCATTATATACAAGATGTCCTGGCCTTAAACTTTACAAATAATGAAATCTAAGATGATTAAGATATCAGGGCCAGATATAAATATGAAGCCATGGCATGTTTTTTGCCAAAGAGTCAGGTTCACATACGAGCTGTGTTAGAACAAAACTGCCAATGGGTAAGAATTTTGTCTCTTTTGCTTCCTGTGCTTTCTTCAGGACTTTAACCGAGACAAATAAAACCTGAAAATGTTGGCTTCCAAGCATACGGAATACTAGCCATTGAGTCAGTGCAATCTGGTACCTATTATAGAAGACAGAGAATTTGCAATCAGGTTTTAGAACAAACAAACAAAAATAGTGAGATATTCTACATTGTGTGATCCAAATATTGATATACGGAATATCTGCTCCTCATGGCCTGCTGTAGTGGGTAACAGCCCAGTATCCTGCTTAAGTCAAATGGGTCCCTTGGCACTTGGTAATTCAGCTGTCCAAAACATGAACAGTATTTTTCATTATTCCTAGTTGCTGACCAAGGCTACTAGTGTATTATGGGGTAGAATTCATATGCTCTTATCCAGGTATCTAGCATTTAGACATTTAAATGTCAGCAGACCAAACTAAGTCACTTCGAATTCAACTGTGAGGTGCAGAAGACTCCAGGATGTGATTCATCTTGTCCTAACACAGTTAAATTATGAAGGATTGGGTGAACTGCTTGATCAGTTGGAAGTTGGAGACTCTATACTACGAGTAGTATAGAGTCATAGCCATTTCTTCCACAACACCATTTAAGCTCCACACTGGACAAGCTTTAAACAAGGCAATGTCTTAATCATGGGAGAGCACTACAAACTCTGAATATAACTTAACTTTTCCTTTAAAATCATAAAACATAATTGAGTCATATAGTGTGAGCCTGCACAGCTAGAAATATGTGTTTTTATTAAAAAAAAAGACAGCCCCTTTTATAAAGCCCTCCTTTTACAAAGCTTTGATTGCTATGATTGAAGAACTGTATCAGGCTTCAAGAACACAACATTTAAGATATCCAAGTACTGTTACCAGTTCAGAGCTCTACAGATCTCATAATATTGGTTTTGTACATTGTTTTATTCCACTTACCCACAACACTCCTCTAATACTCCTCCAGAACACCAACACAAATATTACTGAACTAATAGGTACTGCTATTTACAGTTACTAGGAAAGGCAGTATTAAAAATAATAATAATAAAGTATAGGAAATACATGCACAGCAGAACACTGTAGAATTACTGATTATCTGTATGCTGACTCATCAGTCATTTCCATATATTCTAAAATCTATTGGTAAACCTGCAGTCTGGTAGAGCACAGTCTTTAACAGGAAGAGATGTATAAAGTCTGTCTTCCCCGTCAATTTAGAAACCTGTGAATAAATGAATTTCCCAATGTTTAATTTAAGATTCTGTAATATATATATAGGAAGTTTCAGTTTTTCAATAGAAATTACTGGATTCATGAAAACTACCCTGAACAACGTGAAAGTTTTCCTTTTTTTTTTTTTAATCTGTATGACTCATCTTTGATGCTGTAATATCTAACTTAACTTTACACAATATGCAATTGAAACAATAATAAACAGAATCTTAGAAAGAAAATGCTTGTTTCTTCTAATGCTTATAACCATGTTTATATAAAGTACAGTTTTCAATAATGAAATTCAATAATTCCCTTTGGTGGATTATACAGTTTAGTAACTGATACAGCAGATACAAGCCATCATTTACAAAAAGATGCCATCTGCTGAGCAAACATGCAATCAGCAGGCACTTCCTATTACACTAGAATCTTTTTCGTCCTTTATTGATTTTCTCCATTGAATTTCTAAAGCCCCTCAAGCAATCTGAGCCAGTGTAGCAAATGAAGAAAGCAAAGGACTTCTCAATGACCCCAATATCAATTCTGCTTTGTACTTTATGCTATCTCAAGGCTATGGACCTCATAGGTTAGTTCAAGCAGGAGATAGAAAATAGTATATACACTGTATGTATGTACATAGTTCCAAGACAACTGTGTAGAAATGCCAGCCTAACCTTTGGGATTAAACATACTTCAGAAAAGCCATATAAACATTAAATTATTCACCTGTATATCATTTAATTGTCGTTGCATAGTACTTCTTTTTGTTCCAGCTGTTCTTCAGTTTGCTTCTGCTGTTTATCTAGCTCTTGTAATCTCTGATCCAAACAGGAGAGCTTCTGGAGAGTTCATGCATAAACAGATGTGTTAGTATTTAAGCTACTGTCCTACCTTCTGTAGAAATTAGAAAATACATTAGTCATTAACAGTTATAATTCTTAAGCTTATTTATGTTTTCTTTTCCATACCCACTTTTTTGTCATGTAGGTTTATATGCTCTATGCTTTGAATGAAAAAATGCACATTTAAAATACAAAATATCTCTGCTACTTCATATAGTGTTTATTATCGTACAGGGGAGAAAAAAAAAAAAAAAAAAAAAAAAAAAAAAAAAAAAAAAAAAAGCATACTCCGCTCCCCATGCTTCTTTACTTTCTTTCTGCAAAGGAAGTTACTAATAAAGTTCTGAAATCAAAGTATATATTTGGAATATCTTGCATGGAATTTGCATAAAGGGCAAAATAAATGTTTATTACTTATTATGACTAACTCATGAAAAATACAGCTAAGGACACCTAAAAAGAGGAGGAAGAAGAAAGAAAATATTGGGATATATAATTTTTATATTTTTCATTAATCCACTCTCTTATTAATTAGCACCTCAAGAAAAAAAGTTATCTATTGTATTAATTTCATCTGCATCACTAGTGTGAGCACCAAATATCTAATAACAAATTATTTTAAATATATGTAATAAGTAAAATTTTACATTACTAAATATGCTTATAGAACTTGTATAATAGTTATATTGAAAGTTTAAAATGCCATTTAGACTATGTGACAAAGAATATTAAAATAGGTATTAATATTTCCGTTCTGAAACAATAATTTAAACTTTTGATCAATGAGAAAGTTCTTCCTTGAAATTACCAATAACTTCTGCATATCATTCACATACAAATCTGCTTGTGCAAACTCTGTTTCCAAGCTTTTAAACCAGAAGCAAATACACAGCTATAGACCATGATGTATAACTTACACCACACCTCTCTAGGTTTCCAGGAAACTAATGATGTGATCTTTGTCACATTGTTTCTACTTAGTTTTAGTCGGGGAAGGGCTAACATCATTAGTCACTGCCATTAATGCGTTGTTTTGAAAATACTATTAGCTATTAGAGGAATCTTTTTTTTTTTTTTTTAATTTTTCAATTTGACTTATTAAACCTGCACTAAAAATAAACTATCATCATATAATCCATTAACTGAACTCAAACTATTCAACATCCTCCATTTCTCCTACAAAAATGGTGAAGTATTGCTACATACAATGTCGAGCCCTTCAAATACAGTAACACTAAAAAACTGGAGAAGACAATTTCTCATGACAAGCTATTTACTAGTAGTTGGATAACATAACTATGAACCTACAGACTGATTCTCCAACAAAAAAAATTCTTGCCGAGGCAACTTTTTATCCGGGCTTTGAGCAAAAATAAAAAAATCCTGTTCTAAACTGAATAGATTCAAAAGATGTTGATCTTGCTTGATTGTGAGAATGTTCCATAACAAGTATAGGGCTTATTGAAAACTCCTTGCCTTAATTCTGGATGTAAACCATGAATAGCTAGGCTTGTTTCCTATTGATTTGGAAACAAAAATGAAGACATTTTTCTTTTTCTTTTCTGGCAGTAAGGTCCAGTGAAAATCCCCTCCTCTTTCAGACATTTAAGAAATAATTACTTCTTTCACACCGATTACCGTATGTTCAGTTCTGTTCCCTAAGACACTATTTCCCTTGTCAAAAAAAGGGAAGCTTCAAACACCTCCCTGAGATTGTAAAACTGCTCATTACAGTGAACAAAGTATGCCCACCCATTCATATAATGTGGAGCAGCTCACATTTGGAAGGACTTGTTTGCAAGGATTTCCTCATATTTCATGGTGGAATACAGAAAAAAAGGCTTTGAGTAGTACGCAAAGCTTAATTTAACTGTAATGACAGGACAGCCCCCATTTCAGTGTTGCTGATTTGTACAATTACCAGTGTGAAAGCCAAACTGTTTCACTCATGATAGAAGACTGAAAAAAATTTGTATTTTTCCCATGTTTCCTGTTATTTTCAGAGCCCTTTCCAAAAAGCAGAAAATGAATAAGCACCTGCTCAAGAAAAAGACATACAAAAAGGATAAAGTAAAAGTATAGAAATGCTTTTATTTAAAAAAAAATAAATATCTGTGAATAAATTACATTCCTAACAGTTCTGCAAAAGAAAGAATGAATGCTTCTGTTTGAGGGCTTTGCTTCAGTATAATGTACAGTCATTACATCTTGCACTAAACTATGGTTCTGATTTTTAATGTTTCCAAATAATTTCAGAACAATAAGGTCTGTTTCTACAGATCCTTGTTGAGGTGTCAGGGGACATACAATTATCACCATCACTTAAGGAAATGATTGTTTACCTAGCTAAGGTCTCATGTTTGTAGGACTACTAGTCTACTGATCCACATACTATCAGGTGTTTTTCAAAAGCATCCATCATTGTACTACCTTGTTTTCAAACAGTAATTTATGTAGATAACATATTGGCCACTTGGCCCTCTGCCCTCTATTGCCACTGTTGTAGCACTCCATATAAGCAAAGCTTTCAGAGATCCAAAAGATCATCAGATCTAAAAGAGGAAAGCCTAATTTTGAAAGAAATGTTTCTCAGTCATACAAGTTGAGTTAATATTCCTGTTACTCTTCTGAACAGGTTTATTTTTGGAAAAATTTCACAAGGTTTTGACACCAGGGAAGGTGAACACCACTAGTATACCCTGCAAATATGGGGAATAGGCTACTAGGTCATCACTGGACAACTGGAGGAAAATGGCTCTTTGGCCACACTTTCACAGTGATAGAGGGCCCAATCAAAACATGTCAATACTAGAACAGTAGGAACCTTCTACCAGAAGCAAAAGAAATGCTTGTAAGAGAAGAGTGTACTTCATAAAATGAGGAAGTGAAGAAGGTCCCCAGCATCCCATGACTGATACACTAGTTGCTCTCTTCAGCTTGTAAGTAAGCAAAGAAGTACAAAGGAAACAAGCAAGTATTAAACAGTATCCCCTTTTGTAAGAAAACAGACCACAGAAGAGACAGAAAGATTTTTCTAATAGAGAAGGCAAGAAAGGTCAAAAATAAGGGTGTAATTATGTTGTGTTTTGTTATGTTGTATAACAGCACAATGGCACAGCTGCAAAATCCAACTCTTCTGAGCTATGGACTTCTGTTTCCTCTTATTTTTTTTCTAATAATGACAAAAAGATATGCTAGTGAGTGGTCCAGAATCTACTACTTTTACCTCATGGTTGTCTTTAAATATATTTCTTTTAAATTTTGTTTCTAGATCATTTACTTGACTCTCAATCTCTTCTATCTTCTTCATATCTTCTGCTCTTTTATTGAGTTTCTCTTTTTGCTTTTCCTCTAGCTCATCACATATTGCTTTAAGCCTTTTCATTAAAATATATATAGAATTAGTTTTCAGTATTTCAAAAGCAGAAGTAGAACATGAAAAATCCAAATCTGAAAGAACATTTATATTCTTAAGTAAACACCATGAATAGACCAGAAGTTAACAAATACATCATAAGGTGATTAAAAATGTCTTCAAAATGAAAGAAAAGTTGACCATTAAGTCAGCAAATATCAGAAGCATTTGAATAGGAAAAGTTGAATAGCCAGCAAAATTGGCAGACACAAACACAGCGGAGAAATCAGCAAGAAATATTAGGAAATGTAAAAATGACATTGAAGCAGACAATGAATTTGCAGTACTATTTAAGCAAACAGTAGAAAATAATTCCATAAAAAAAGGAATTAAAATTCTAAATATTAATGTCAGACTGAAAAATCTTTTCTGATGGGAAACATAATCCCCATAGGCATGTTCCTAGATTAAAAAAAAAAAAAAAAAAAAGAGAGAGAAAAAAGGAAAACTGCAGAATGAAAAGGAACAAAATATTTGCAAAATAAATTAACACCCTTCAAGGTTGGAAAATAGAAGGTCCAGCATACATCCACCCCAGACTTCTCCCCTCCACCCAAAGAAATAAAGAACGAGAAAAATAGAGAACTATTATGTACCATCACCTGTGTTCTTTAGAATGTACAGGTCTTACATACACTTAAGTTTATAATACTAAAAATTCATCATCACTTGAAATCATATAACTTAATGAGTTATCTCATTATATCTCTCAGTTATGATATTGAGATATACACATTTACACAGACACACACACACATATGTCTATCTATCTATCTATATATATAAAGTGGAACACAGCTGGCATCGTTTTGAATTCCTTTCAGCTGTAGAAGCAGAGTGAAATAAGTCAACAAGTTTATGGGAAAGAGGGCAAGACATCACCGTACATGTGACTTGTTCTTTTCAAAGTATTATACTAGGTGGTAAATAAGTCCTTTTTCTAGTTCTAAGTTATAGTCTACATAGTTATCCTTACTAGGAGTGTTTCAAGTAGGAAATGCAGCATAATGTCTGTATTCCTGTAGAATGGCACAATATTAGGTAAAGTTACAGATAATGTTCCAGGTGACAAAATGGTTGGTAGGTGGACCAGCTTCTCAGAAAACCAACATTTCTGGATCTCTGTTGCTTTATACACAGATGGCACTAGGAAATACCCTTTGGAAGAAGAGGAACATTCAATACTTTCTGCTAATGTCTGGGACAAACAGGAACTGCAAGAACTCTCTTAGGGGCTGTCTTTCTAGAAATGAGAGATGTAGATACTAGATTTCGCTACTGAGTTCTTGCACAGTACAAAGTCACAGGATGGAAGAGAACAAGCTTTATAACAAAAGCAAAATGGAGATTGTGACTGTTCAGCAGCAAATAAAAATGTTCACGCTTATCTCAAAAAAAAATTAAAAAAAAGGAACAGAAATCTCAGGACTTCCAGTCATCACAGCAAATCCAACATTTGATTCTAAAGAAAAAAAAGCCTTTGATATCTCTCAGAGTTAATCTCTTCTGAGACTATTGCAAGAGGAGCCAAAGAGGGTTTCTGAGTCAAGGACTTGCAGTAGAAGTCTGCAATGCATACCTCCAGTTTTAGGTATGTTCTTTCAGTCCCACATGATGTTGGATCAGAATCTAATACTAGAACACTCCCAGCACGTGAGTATTCATCTCAGAATGATCAGGAAGGAGCAATGAAGCCAAACAATCCTGTATCTCATAATGGTGAGAGTGGGAGTGTTAATAGTAGAGATATTTTTCCCAGAGGAATTGAATGTCTCCTTTATAGGAAGGAAGAGATGAATCTCAATGGCACTCACTTACCAACTGTGAAAAGGCTCTCAGGATAGGTTATACACTGGTGTGCTAATGATGCATCACAGGAGATCTTCTCCAGTTAGAGGGAATTTGTATGAGAAGGAAGTGATAATTGTACTGTTTATCTAGTATCAAGTTTTATGTAAGAAAAAGGCAACACTTTTACTTCTTGCAAGGGATCTGATTCAGCCAGTGTTGTCTCAAGGTTGGCACATTATTACTGTATCCCATCTCCTCACAGGTTGTGCCCAACAACAGCAGCTGGAAATCTGTTACTTGCCTTTATCTTGTGGGCAGGCACCATTAACAGTAAGGTCTGTACCAACAGGCAGTTCAGCAGCTGGTGATTTTGCCAGGTGTATTGGGTTTTGAGTGGTAAGGTCTTGGTAGCAGGGGGCTACAGGGGAATAAGAGAAGGGTGAGTGGAAGGTGTTTTAAGATTTGGTTTTATTTCTCATTACCCCACTCTGATTTGATTGATAATAAATTAAACTAGTTTTCCAAAGTTGAGTCTGTGAATGATCTCTCCCTGTCTATCTCAACCCAGCAGCCTTTCATTATATTTTCTCTCCCCTGTCCAACTGAGGAGGGGAGTGATAGAGTGGCTTTCGTGGGCACCTGGCATCCATCCATGGCCAACCCCCCCTACCAGGCCTTATGTAACATAAATGCTTCTGTGTTACTGGATTGAAACTTTGAAGGAAACATTGATTTTCTTGCATCATAGTGAATGAAGAAGTGATGTCTGGAAAGTTGTTGCTTAGACAGAAGCCAGAGCTTGGTTCTGAGAACCCCACTTTAAGGCCTCTTATCTGGTGACACTGAATGCAGACATTAAGGACTTCTTCAGAATAATAGTCCTGGAGCTTCCACTCAGTGTCTTGCTTGAGGCTTTAAGACCTGGTAGCTACTACAACAGTTTGAATATGATCATTATCCATGTTCTTGCAGAAGACAGCTGATGGAATCCATCTGCCAAAGGATGGATACAGATGGAATACCCCTTTTGATGATAACAAACTTGGGATCTCAGTCAGAGAAGCTGAAGAAATATCAACACTTGACTGAGGATGGTTGAAAAGCATCACTGAAGTCCTGAAGAGCTACATTTGACAATCAAAAATGGGACACCAAAGTGTGTTGTGTAAATTTAGAAGTTCACATCAGGAGAAAATAAATGGTGTTAGGGCCACCCTATTTTTATATATGCATGTGGCAATATAAGGCATGGTGGGGGTATGATTGCAGTTTCTAAAGAAACTGAAGAAAAATATTCAAATTATATCACTGCATATACAGATTATTACTAAAAGATTTTTTATCTTTTAAAGCAAACTGGAAATTATTGTGAATAACTAGAATACAAATAAAGTGTTTCATGTTTTCACGAGTATTTAAATTTTCCTGGTTGTTAAACAGCAGGCATCATTACTTAGCAAAACCCATTAGCCTTCTATGTGAGTTGGTCACAAGGTACTCAAAGTTAATTCATGGTAGAAAGTAAAAAGAAGGTAGAAGAATTTAGATGTGAAGTTAAATGTTTACAGTCATGTTTACCTGAGTCACTTTCCAAACTCCTTTCTGATCTTGAATTTCTTTAAGATTCCACTCTGAATTCTTAGGGGGAAAAAAAAAAAAGCCATATACAACATATAAGAAAACGTTAATAGACAACAGCGATGAAAATTTAACACTAACTTCACAGTAAAGATGATCATAGCTTTCATTTTTTTCTCAATTATCATAAAACTCTATTAAAAACAGAAATTACAACAGTCTCAGGCACAGGAGGTAAATAAATATAGACCATACTATAAGAAAATATTTTCTAGAGTTAGTGTAATTTATCTTTGGTAGCTTAAAATAATTAAACACATGAAGAAGCTGAGCTAGCTTACTTAAATGAATATTGAGCATAAAATATTCAAAATTTTAAAATCTCAGTGCCTTCTATATTTTATATGATGAGATTTTTTTGTAATTTCTAGTAAAAAGCTGGACATCTTTTAGCCCTTTCTTATATGACTATTGTACTAATGTCTAGGATAACAGTTATACAGCACATTATTATAGTTTGCACCTTGAAAACCTCTAATGTATGCCAGATTAACAGACCATCACAACTATACCTGATCACAATCTAAGCCAAACCCTAATTAGGGTATTCTGTTTCCTTTTTAAGCAAACTTAGGAAGTGGAAAACTCATTATTTAAGAAAAACTAGGCATAGCATGCCCAACAGCAAAGTAAAAAAATGACTCAAGTCTATTATTGAAATATATCTATTCAAGATGTTTTATTCACCTCCATATCTGCACTTTGGAACTGCATATGCCATCAGCACTTGGACAGGGAGGTTCCTGCATGAAGAGGTCAGAAATGTCTCCGAGATGCCATGTACATAAGAAAATACAAAAACTGGTGCCAAACATTCCCATGTATTCTCAGACCTCAAATCCCCCAAATTATTAGGAGCTTCAAGGAAATAGAAGTGATGGAGATCAGTGTTCGTGTGGAAAATACATCCTGTAATCAACGAGTCAAGGTCTTTTTTTCCAGATGAAGATTTATACATTTGCTCCAATGGTAAGTCCAAGCAATAACTCGTGCTCATGGACCTACCCTCTCCCTCACACCTCCTTGTCCACATACGCATATAGCGCGTTTGAATCCAAATCCTGAGACTATTAGACAAACTGTGGCATGTGGCCTACTCTCCAAAATGCAGCAACATTTTGAATGACTAAAGATAACACTTGGTTATTGCATGAATATAATTTCACTCTATTCAGTAGCCCAAGGATACAGTTTAGCTGGTGGTTAGACTGACACTTTCTTCAGACACACCAGAGGGTGGTTGCTCTCACAGAGTATCAGCAGAGACCAGGCAGTCAACTACAAATTGCACCTTTATTTATATGGTCATATTAAAAATTCACTACTATCCAGCTGTTGATTAGGTACAGAGCTATCTTAGCTTCTGTGCACTCCATTCACACTAGCTTTTACCTAGCAAATGTCTCTTGCAACTGGTCACCTTCTCTGTGAGTATCTTCATGTGTATATGTATGTTTCATATTATTACAAACACAATGCTTTTGCTAATTTATCGTAATCAAGACTAAATATGGCAATGTTAACTTAAAGCTG